AGTATTAAAAAAAGAATTATTAATATCATTATATTTAAAATTCATAAGTTTTATAAAATAAACATACCTTTTTTTTTTATTTATAGCATTTATATCATCTATTTTCATATTCATTAATTCAGTTATGAATATCTGTGGTAAATTTTGAAATACTTCATATGTTGGACTCAGCATATTAAATGCATGATCATCCTTTCGATAATTTGTAATATTTTCTTTTTTTTGTACCAATAAACCACTACCACTACCACTAGCAATTGAATTTTTTTGCTTTTTATTTGATAAATTTTTTGTTGAATTTTTTTTTCCTTAATAAAATTTTTTAAAATTAATAAAATAATAAAATATTATAATATCAATTAACTAAAAAATATCAATTATAAATACCAGTAGGTAGCAGTCTTATAAGACTGCTACCTACTTGCGTTATAATGTTACCTTCTTATAGGTATATTGCTACCTACTTGTGCATTTTGGTGCCTGTCTTCTTTTTATTATCTTCTAGCTATCCATTTGTTTATCTGCTTTTATGTCTCTTTGGTTACCTGTTAAGATGTCAAGGGTGCTTTCCTTTTACACCTGTTTAGCGGTCTTTCAAGGTGTCAAAGTGGTGTAAAAAAAGGTTTCAGGTAGCACAGTAATTTGATCTAGATCTGCGATTAATTTTGGCTAACACTATATCATAATTCTGGCTGATCTTTTAGGCATGTAATTTGAGGATTCAGCCTAGCGCTATGGTAGTAACCTGGTAGCTATCGTGAAACTGTCATAGAACTGGTAGTTTGCCAGCTTGGATGCCAACTTCTTATGCTTAAAGATCTGGCTGAAATTGTGGAATAATGCTGGCCGATACTGCGCCTAGTGCGCTATAGTCACGTGATACTGTTCTGACACTGGAACACCCTCTTACAGTAGCTTTAGCCAGCACTATAACAGTAATAACTCTAGCCGATTTTTGAACCCATGTTTTTAGGATCCAATTTGACACCATAGTAGCGTCATAAAAGTGGTGAGGAACTAGTATAGTTCTATTAGTTCACCAGTTCAATATGCTTGTTTGGATACTGAGTTATTATGTCCAAATTTCTGGCTAAATTTATGGAATAGTACTGGCCGACATTATTGTTATTATTCTGCGCCTTCAGTTTTGGGCACTTCCGAGGTCCGATCATGGTTTAGACTGGGTTAAGGCAATGAGTATGCCATTTTTAGAGCATCTTTAGTGTCCTTAGGGATTTTTTTCTGGGGACGCTTTCTAGGGACAGCTTTGATATCTTTTTTCGCGTTCTTAAGCTTTATTATTTTCTTCTTTTATATTTGTCCCTAGTGTTCCTAGTGTCCCTAGTAAAAGTTAAGTTATAGGAAAAAATTCGAAACTTATTTTATGTTAGATACCTCTGATATCGGTGGTATATGGATACTATATGGATAATATGTGTAATATACATATGCTAAAAAATAAAAAAAGTTTAGAAGTTTCTATTTTTCGTAGGGACACTAGGGACACTCACTTAGAAGACTTCCCAGAATTCTAAAATCGTCAAAAAGCCTACTTTTAGCGTTCTCAGAAGTGTTCCCGCATTTTTTCCAGAGACAATTTTCTAAGGACAACTTTCTAGAGACATCTTGTTGCAATAATTTATCAAGAGCCTATTCTAATGCTTTTGGTGTTTGCCCATCCCAAAATATCTTATCCATCTTCTTTCGGTAATAATTTGCTTTCAAATGGCACTTATTTACATGCCAATTACAAAACCCATATTTCGATGCTGTTGGTCTTATACACTATCTTGTTTGCATAGAGATCGCTGGTGTCTTTTCAGTGAATACTACACCCTTCTGGTCACGTACTTCCACCTCCACAAACAATCCCTTCATTAGAGAGATAATGGCAAATGTATTTACTTCCCATTTAATATTATTCCGGTTAATCTTTGGTGTCTATAATAATATTTATTTTTATTTTAAACTTTTTTACAAGGGTATTATATACCAAATCCCAGGTATACTAGATAACATATCTAAAACAATAACTGAACAATCCTCACTTTCAGAGTTCCTCTCCGACGCCCTCACCCTTTTTCGCTTAGAGGCCGAAAAAGATAATCTGGAAGGGGTCCCTCTGGAACCAGGCTAACTGATTCGCTATTTTGGTGAAACCTACTTAAATGCCATTCTAACTCACAACAATATAGTTGCAGAAAATGATGCAGGACTATCTGCAATTCTCAACAATGCTCTGGCCAAACGAGAAGAGATCCCTTTCATGGCTGTTGATAATGAAGGATCAAGTGAAAGATAAACGGAAAATACTACTATGTACTTTGTCTCTATGGTTCCCTTATTAATGGCTAAAAGGCAGTAGTAACACTTTTTGGTATTCAAGTATTCTTTGACGTTCTTGTTCCAGATGGAAAGACTCCGGATGAATGTGAAATGAAAGTAAGGGATATTCTCTCTGGAGAGGTGGAGACTCAAAAAATTGAGCATATTAAAGCTTTCTCTTTTCGGAGTTATCACACGGAAAAAAAGACATATTTACGAATCTATGTGAGTGGTACCAGTAAAAGAAAAACAGCCATTAAGGCCGTCCAAGATAATAATTACAAAATTGCTTCAGATAATTTATACTCATTCCACTGTAAGGTGGCTCGAGAAAATGGAATTCAACTTTCTGGATGGTCTATGCTAGGCAATTACATGTACAAGGGAAGTATTGATCCTCTCTACCCCACACATTTTACTTATCTAAAAATATTTTCAACCCGTTAAAAACCTTACTATAATAGCTGATCGATTTCATATTTCAGCTCTCTTACGGGATCATACTTTCGTCCTTACATGAGATATAAAAACACAATCACAAGAGTTAGGCGAATTTGCAGAAGTCCTTGATCTGAATAATAATGTTTTTACGATTTGCATGACATTGCATTAGAAGATGATTCAAAACCACTAAAGCAAATATGTCTCGTCAATGTTGAGATAGAACCAGATCCACGCTGAACCACAATTGTATGTGGAAACCAAGAAAATCTGCTAAAGGCATTCGCTTTCTACTGGAAAGCATTTGCCCCTGACATTCATGTTAGGTTTAACGATTCAGACTATGATTGGCATTTCATAATGGAAAGAGCCTATCATCTCAACATTCTCGAATGGGTGTGGGAGTGGATGACAGAAAAGTTTGAAACAAAGGAAGAAATTCTAAAGTGGAAATATCGTGGAAAAATAGGAGCGAAATCTGAAAATACTTTAAGAAGAAAGAAAGAAAAAGAATAGTGAGAACACAGATAGTGAAAATACTCTTTACATTCTTGAGAATAGAGAGGAGGATACAGAAGTCAAAGAATTTCTGGACAGTCTGACTATGATCAAAATTTCTGCGGAAGATAATTTCTTTTTCAGCTTCCTTAAACTGCCAGGATGTGTACCAATTGACGTTAGAGTTTATCTCAAAAAGCGTTATCCCTGTTCTGAAGTCGAAAAGGAAGGCTCACTTAAATTCTTCTTATAAAAATGCGATCTTGATGCTAAAGCTGACATGCCATACGATAAAATGTGAAAAATCTATTCAGAGGCAAAAAAGTCCCTCCCTGTCAACTGCGAGAAAAATGTGGAAAGTAACATATTACTGTATTATAGATGCACTGCGTTGCCAAGAGCTTTTGGTAAAGCTAAGTCAAATAAATGAATACAGAGAAGTCGCTTCTATAGCTTACAGTGGCTCACAAAAGTAATGCAACCGCTAAATACAAAACTTTAAATTAATGTAACTTTTTATTTATAAATTAT